TATGAGTAAAATATCTGTGAAGTATATTCCCATTCATATTTACAATTTTGAGCATACCAGGGTGATTATGAACATGAACCTTAATCATCCATCACAATGAGAAAAACCAAAGAATATATTTCTGATGTGCAGCAAAAGATAATTGAGCTTCACAAATTAGTGAAGTGGCTTTAAGAAAAGAGCTAGAGCAGTGAAAATTCCCATTTCCACCATCAGGGCAATAATTAAGAATTTCCAATCAACATAAAATGTTACGAAACTGCCTGGAAGAGGACGTGTGTCTATATCGTCCTAATACATGGTGAGGAGGAGAGTTTGAGTGGCTAAAGACTCCAAGGACCACAGCTGGAGAATTGCAGAAAATAGTTGAGTCTCGGGGTCAGAAAACCTTAAAAAAAAATTGTCAAACAGCACCTACACCACATATTATTTGGGAGGGTTTCAAGAAAAATTCTCCAAGCTCACCCAAAAACAAACTCCAGCATATTCAGTTATCAGACACGACTGGAACTTCAAATGGGACTGGCTTCTATGGTCAGATTAAACAACAAAAAAAAAAGCTTTTTAGCAGCAAACACTCAAGTTGGGTTTGGTGAACACAGGGATAAAAAGTACCTCATGTGTACAATGAAATATACTGCTGTATTTTTTATAATGGGCCATGTTTGGATCTTCCAGCCGTACAATAATCCAAACACAAACCTCAAAAGCAACACAAAAATGGGTCACTGGGCACAAAACCAAGCTTCTGCTATGGCCATTCCAGTCCTCTGACCTATTTTTGGCCATGACTGTATATGTGTGTGTGTATGTATGTATTAGGGATGCACGATATTATCAGAACGTTTTCGGAATCGGCCGATAATGGCTTAAAATGTAAACTTAGCATTGGGCAGGTATGAAAAATTATGCTGATATGCCCTGCCAATAAGATGAATACCTCATCAGTAAGGCTTTTTATTTACTTAGGGGGCGCTGTTGGCCTACTTGTATTAAAATAAAGTAAAATACACAACATTAAGATTGTGTTTCTGATTAAATAAAGCAGTAATTTATGTCATAAAATGAGTATGTTTTGATTTATAGGTCAGAAGCTATAGCTTACATGAATAAAAATCACAAACATGACACTTGCAAATTAAATTATTTATATATATATATGAAGAGTTCATTTGCAAAAACCGATAACTTTTTTTTTTCAGAAATCACGTTTTTTTTTATTGCGCATTCCAGCACCGGGAGAGTTGGAGACACAGCCTTGCCCTGTAGTTATGTTTTTTCTTTTTTTCTATCTAACGAGTCCCTCTTTCTCTGTAGCTTTAAGGTATGTGTGTTTGGCAGGAACTGGTCCTGCTTAAGGTGTGTTCTAGAGTTTGTTGGTTTTGCCAAGTACGACACACCTGGAAATGCAACATGCTCATTTTTAAGCAATTGTGCACATGGTCAAATCTATTGTCTTGTGTTGAAGATGGGGTTATGTATTCATAAAAGACTTTATGCATGTATAAAGATTCCAAGCACTGACATCTCTGTGTACACTGAATATATATGTATATATATATATACACACACACACACACACACACACACACACACAGATTTATTCATTAATGTGTGTTATATTTTTTCCCAAACAGATTATGAAAACTTAAATACAAGGAGCTATAAAAGATTTCCAGAATTTTTACAACTCTTTTGCTTTAGACCATCTACAAATGTTAAATCTTCAAATAAAATGTTAACTGCATCTGTCTGAAGGGAAAAAATGCAGTAATTGGTTTATAGTTATTTTCAAATCTTTCAATGTACTCTTATTATAAAATAACTTTTTTTTTATTCTAGCAAGTAAATTTTTTGTTAAAAACTAACCAAAATTAAAAATAATTTGTTTATAATCTCTGCACAGGAGAGATTTGGTGTTTTCCAAACAAATGAAATATATTGGTATTGGCATCGGTTATCAGCATATTGTATATCAGCAAAAATCCAATATCGTGCATCCCTAATATGCATGTATGTATGTATGTATGTGTGTGTGTGTGTTTATATACACACACACTATATTTTATTACATAATATAATAATAAAGAAAATTATATACAAATTGTTAAAAGCTTTTAACTTTTAACTATAAAAAGCCAGAAAATAAATTTAATTAATCAACATTTCTGGTAATTAATGTCATATAAATAAAATAAAAAAAAATAAATAAATAAATCTGTAGTTAATTATAACATACATATGTATGTATGTGTATATAGTTTTGAATATATATTTATTTGATTAAATAAAATGAACTACAATTACTATTATATTATTAAAAGCATAGATGCACTGATATATAATATAAATAAGATAAATAAAAGCAATAAAATGAACAGTGAAAGTAACAAAAGCTTGTACAATACATTATAACAGGCATAACTAAGTAAAAAAAAAAAAAAACTTAAGGAAACATCTATTTGCTAAATTAATTAAGCAAATATACATAGTATAATATGAAGTATATAGTATATTTGTTCAAATTTCAAGGATATGATATGTGGATTGTACCTGTGCTCTGTTTACCCTTCCAAACAATCTCTGTTAACTCTTTCCAGGTACTCACACAAACATGTATGTGTGTAACATGATGAAATGCAGTAGGTTTCTCCCTCTAGGTGTGTATCTGTAAGTACTTGTCTGTGTGCGTCTGTTCAAGCCACAGCAATGAACACCTGGAGGCACTTTGATGAGATAGAGACCAATCTGACGCACACAACACAACAGTTTCCCGATGCTCTGAGACCAAACACTGACCAGCATCCACACAATAGACTCATTTGAGGTGCATGCCGATTACTAACGCTCTGACCGGCTGTGACGTAATACTTTCCCTATTTTCACTCAAACGAAGGAAGTGTCAAGGGGAATCATACGCTCACACTGAACTGTTAAACATCTGCAGCTGTATTGAAGTGCTGCAGGAGAGATGATGTCAATGTCATTACCTTTAGGGGGAAAATAGGATTTGCTTTCTGCTTTATGAGGCCAGTCCACCACCAGGTGACCGTAGCGACGGAAACTGTTTGTGATCTCATCTGTTAGAAAAATGGAAAGTGTTTAGGCCAGAAATATGGATTTTAAACGTAAAAAAAAAAAGCAAGCAGTCACTGCATCTCCTCTGAATAACAATGCTGTAGACTTTAATTCTTTAAAATGCAGTTCATTGCTATGAATATCAAAAATCTTTAGTCATTTGCCTGGTGTTTTTCTGTGGCCAAAAATGCATAGCTCACAGTCTATATAATATTTTGGTCAGAAGATATACTTTAAGTCAGTAGCAAATTTAAGGAAATGTTAATTTAATTTAATTTAATTTAATTTAATTCATTTATTTTATTTTATTGACCTTTATTGGCAACCAGGTGAAAAACAACTCTAAATGATTAGAAAAATTAAGTTCCCACATTCCCACAAACGTCATTAAAGTTTTAGCATTTTTTAAAATCCCTTTATTTATTTGACAATTTTAAGAACTATAAACAAAAAATCGGACATAACTCAATCTTTCTTCAAGGCAACAAACAGATTGGTGTTATTTAACTATTATTTATATACTATTATAGTTTTAATATTTTTAATTAGTTTTTTATTTATTTATATATATATATTTTTCATTTAAATTTTTGTCAATTTTTATGTGCTTTGGTCATTTTTGTTAGTTTTTGTTACTTCAATATATAATATTTTAGTCATTTCATTGCTTCAATTTAAACTAAACAAAAATTAGAATTTTTGCTTTGGAAACTACCTAAACTAAATGTTTTAATAGTTTTGGATTTAGTTTTAGTTAAAGGGATAGTTCACCTAAAAATTTAAACTGTCATCATTTACTCACCTTCAAAAAGATATTTTGAAGAATGTTGGTAACCAAACAGCTGCTGATAGCCAATGACTTCCATAGTATTTTTTCCTTATTGAAGTCAATGGCTACCAGCAACTATTTTTCAAAACATTCTTCAAAATATCTTGAGCGATCAGAAGAAAGAAACTGAGGATGAGTAAATGATGACAGAATTTTCATTTTTGGGTGAACTATCTTTTTAATGATAATAAACCTGAAACAGATACATATCAGCACTAAAATCATTGTGTATACAATTTTCGATTTATGATACTGTACCTTTAATACATATAATATTGATTAAATATTAATTGACATACCCTCCAAACTCAAGCTCAGTACTGAGGCGTGTATATGTACCTTCATCGATGTCTGGTGGCAGTCCTCCGACAAACACCTTCCTGGAGTAGCGCTCAATCCTCTCTCCGTTCTGACAGCGGCTGGGCGAGCTCAGGCCAGAGGTCAGCCGCTGATCACCGTGACCGTCGTCCAGGAAGCCGTCCTCGAAAGGAAACAGTGAAGAGCGACCTGCAACAGGAAGTAGAGAAAACAAACAGAAGAAAAGGAGGAATCAGGAGGAATCACACAGGAAAGGAGATGAAAGAGAGAGAAAGCCAGAGGAGAGAAACTGATTAGTGGACAAAAAAAATGACCATGAATTTCTACACCAATTAATTTAAACTCACTGAAAGTTATAATATTAATTTAATGTAATATACTACCATTTTATTTCAAAATTACGATTAAATTGATCAAAAGTGACTGTAAAGACATAACATTTATATTAAAATGCTGTTTTTTAACTTTATATTCATCAAAGATTCCTGAAAAAATGTGTCACTGTTTATTAAGCAGCAAATCAGCATATTAGAATGATTTCTGAAGGATCACGTGACACTGAAGACTGGAGTAATGATGCTGAAAAATGCAGCTCCGCATGACAGAAATAATTTTTTTTTTAAATATATTAACATAGAAAACTATTTTAAACTGGAACATTATTTCACAATATCACTGATTTTACTGTATTTTTGATCAAATAAACACAGCCTTGGCAACCATAAGAGACTTCTTATAAAAACATGAAAAAATCATGCAAACCCCAAATTCTGAATGGTAGTATATACATATATTATGATATGTATTTCAATGGCATAAATAACCATATATTTTGGTTAAAAATGATTAATTAATGAAATATTACATGAAACTGGATTGTTCCAAAGTGAAATGAAACAATGAAGCTTTCATAAAATTTAAACACAAAAATCTCCAATAATTATAAAAGACAACCCATTTCTTTATTTTTTTACTCATATTTGTGAAGTGTTAACCTGAAGACACGTTAAAAAACAGAGATGCAATCGATATATTCAAAGCGTCATAAAACAAGGCACATTTTCATACTGCAATGCAAAAAATCAAAATAAATCAAATTAATCAAATAAATCAAATAAATAAGAAATTAGTGCTGTGATTGGAAGACCTTTAGACACGAACACTGATATCCCTTTTCCATCGCTATTCCTAGTTTTGAGAACATATTTAAACATGCAAAGTTATTTAATTCAGTTTCAAAATGCTGTCTTAATTGATCTGTTTTTAAAACATGTAACAAAAACAATAATGAACTCACATATATGATTGCAAATCAATTTATTTTAGACAGATGAGGAATGAGTAGTCAAAAATAGAATCAGGGTGTCCATTAACTAAAGGCATCCTGCCACATTTGGGACTTTCAGACAGCTTCGGTGATTGTAGTTTTAAGATATTAGTGGTTCATGGTGGAAAAGGGGTATGAGAGGAGTACTAGAACCAAACTAGAGCCAAAGCCAACACATGTGAGGCACAAAACCCTCGGACACAGAACTGGATGACAGAATTAGTTCAAGACTTGAAATGAGAGTTGCAGCAAGCCCATATGATTCACTTCAAACAGATCTTGTCAACATAATATTTTGTTAGGAAACCAATAGCTAAAATATTCCTTTGTATGTATGCAATAACATAAAAGGAAACAATATTTTAATTAGCAGAAAACAATGGCAAAATCAACATGAATTAATGCAGTCACTGCACAAAGGAAGCAGATATTATGACCCCCAGTAACCCTCATAGACAAGGAAGAATTCAGCCCGAGCAAAAGCCCCATCATTTCTGCGAGCACAAAGATAAAAAGGCGACAGGTTACCTCTTCTGCGGCCATAGCTCCTGGCTGCTCGAGGGTGAAGAGAGAGAAAGATGGACAGAGAGAGACATAAACGAGGAGACAGACAGGGTTTTTTTTTCCCAAGCTTGTTTTCACTTGTCGCTGCATTATGAAACACTTCAGTGCAATATTAGTATGCATAGCATTTTGAGTGATGAGATGTCCGCAAGGAGATGTCATGGATTTTCTATAGTTTTCTCATTCAGGTGAACACAACAGAATCTTCCTGTTCGAGCTACAATTAGTTAAAGTCTCTGTAAAGTCAATTCTGAGAATAGTTTCTAAACGCATTATAAATATTACAAATGTATTACTGAAACACATTACAAAGACTGTGAATTCTGTAGTACTGAATAGTGGAGTTATACAGTTTTTCACCAATTCTGTGTTCAGGATTTTCTGGGCGGGGCTAAAACAGTGGCTCGATGGCACACTGGAGCCACTGATCATGGCCCCTCCTCTAACACTATAATAAATGTCGATGACGCACCGGAGCAAATATGTATTGGCAAATATTGTAAATCCAATTAAGCTGCTAGGAGCATCCATTCAGGCTGTAGCGGTATTTGACAGTTAAGAGGCGGCAGCTTTCCCGAGAGTGGGCGTGGGCGTGGAGCTGAGGATACTGCCCATTTTTTCGAGATTTTGATAACTTATTTTATGTACTTACTTAGCGGATTTTTTTATCATTCAAATTTGGCTGAGTGGTTAAAGGGATAGTTCACCCAAAAATGAAAATTTGATGTTTATCTGCTTACCCCCAGGGCATCCAAGATGTAGGTGACTTTGTTTCTTCAGTATAACAAATCCACACAATCCAATAAATCCAAATGGCACAGAGATTGTGAGGAAATAGAAATATTATTGTAATGAAAGTTTAATGTGTATTGGATTTTTTTCTTTCAATTCTTTTTTTTTTTGTTAAAAATATAATGCATTATATTTTTATTTTCATACATGTAAAATTACTGTTTTTTTTAAATATATATTTTAAAATGTATTTCATTCCTGTGATTGGAAAGTTGAATTTCCAGCCATTACTTCAGTGAAAATTACCAATGTTGAAAACAGTTGTGCTGTTTAATATTTTCTGGAAACTGTCCTTTTCTGAAGAATTCTTTGATGAATAGTTTTTTTTTTACTTTTTTACTTTTGATTGATTTAATAACTCCTTGCAGAATTTATTTTAAAAAATGCCCCCCAAAATGTAATTATTATTATTTAACAATATCCTGAAGGCTCCCGAAGTAGTCAGGTCTAAAGAAAGCCATAGAGAACGGCTCCGAATGCATGACATTTTCAGAGTTGGAGCTATTGTTCTCATTCTGCGGCGTCTCACTTTTTTGGGTTTTCATTAAAACTGCCTGTAGCCACTGCGTACATAAAGACGTCTAACTGGCGTTGTCAGGGGGTCTCATACTCCTAGCAACAATGAAAGGAGAAAGCTACTGTGTCTGGAGTGAGTCACCACACACCCCAAGAGACAGACGGGGTATTTGTTCCTCACTGGGATTTGAGAAGTGACTGTAGGGCAGCAAGAAAAAGGAAAGTTACAGTGATACAGCAGTTTCTCTTTCTGTTAAAGAATAACCACTGTCACATTTAAGAGTGAGAAACCACAACTGGTGGAAGTCCCTCGGGCTGATTCTTAATACAAGTCACAGCATATCACACACAACCTTGACACACTGTATGGGATTACAGAGCAAGAACACAGAGTCCGACAAACTCTGTCCTCTAAACATGTGTGAAATGAACACCAGCCAGACATTTTTGTGCAGTTTTGATTTATAGATGGATGAACGTGTGAACCCAGACCATCAGGGGTTATAATGAGACAATCTACTTGTGCTTCTTGCTTCTAGTATAAATATGTGAGGGTGGTGTTCACAAAAAATAGTGTGCTCATCTGAGGCATTTCTTAAGTGCTTGACTATGTATTTTTGAACTAGATGGACGTCTTTAGCCATTACAGCATGTCTCACTGTTATTCAGCGTCTCATGACAAGACACGTTTTAAAGACGCCATGTTAAGTTATAAATAGTTCAACTTTTGTCATGCAGGGCAGCATATCAATGTCAGTTTGAAAACACGGACTAGTCAGCTAAATCTGTGGCAGGATAAACATATTTACATATAGACATGAATGAAGCCATTCAAATGGAAAAGACATCAGTATGTGTTTGATTCATTTTTTGAGTCAGTGAACTAGGATACTAATCAAAGTGATTCAAATTCACTTTTAAAGCCAATGTAAATTTAAATTGGGTACATTTTCGATCCACTAAAAGTTGTTGTTGCACATTTTGCACATTTATATAAACCAGGGTTTTTATCGTAACATTTTTGTTAACCGTAGTAAAGCTGAAAACACTGAATAAGCATTAAACACAAATAAACTTGCTGCCAAAGGAAAATTTCTAATGTTTGATTTGTTTAAGTTAAAGCACTAAAATTACTACAAGTAAATAAAATAAATAAAATTGAAACCAAACTAAAACTGAAATAAAAATATAATACAAAAATCACATAAAATTACTCAAATGAATATAAATATAAAATATCTAATATATATATATATATATGTGTGTGTGTGTGTGTGTGTGTGATATTTTTATATGTAAATATTTTTATAAAAATATAACATTTGTAATATAAAAATATTTTAATATACTAATTAAATCTAAAATGTAATTATAAAAAATAAATAAAGAACATAATATGAAATAATATTTCTTATATAATATTTCTTAATATAATATAATATAATCTTCCAATAAAAATGTGGCTGGTCAAACTGGGCGGTGGATGGTGGGCAAAAGTAGTTAAATCATCTAAATCGCTAAAAGATTACAATGTAAAGACTTCTTATCAAACTTCAGTCTGTGCAACTTTGAACTTTAAAGGCGAGTTCATACAAACAGACATGGAAACTATTCTCCCAGTTAAATTGTCCAAATTAGAGGTTTTAAGAGTGGTCACGGGCCCTGCCGGCTCCTTCCTGTGCTGCTTCCACCAAACGACGTCCATAAACCACACGAATGACACGCCAGACCTCAAACATCCCACTCGAAGCTTTTCAGTGGTACCTACAGCAGATACACAGATACCTACTACAACCATCAGGCTAATGAGCACGATTAGCTCGAGTCGTCACTGTGACCCTGCTAAAAACGCTCCTGGCGTTTCCTCCCTTTTTTGTTTGTTCCTCTGGCCGTACGCCACTGGCTGAGGAGGACCGTGTGTATATAAGCTTTCAGGGCTGCTAATCATAGCAGGGGAGATGCTCATGTGTGCGGTTTGGTGGCACCACAGAAGGAAACAGAGGGTCAGCACATTGCACTGGGGCCTACAAGACACTAATGAAAGACTGAAATGGGTTTCGCATTGGCTGATATGGGAAATTCTAAGGGAAATATAATGTCTTTATTAACAATACAACGCAATTTAATTATAGCAGAAGAGACCTAAATAAAATTGCTCAATTAAATGAATTGGTAGATTTTGAATTAGACACAAGGGGGAGACACAAAGTGGTACTGTGCAAATAAGCATATACACTACCATTCAAAAGTTTGGGATCAATAAAACATGTTTTATTCAGCAAGGATACATTAAGTAGTTCAAAACTGATTTATAAGGCTACAAAAGATTTCTATTTCAAATAAATGTTCTTTTGAATTTTCTATTCATCAAAGAATCATGATAAAATATATCACGGTTTCATAATATAAGACATTATAAATATATATATATATATATACGCAATATCACTCGAGTACTCGAGTGATATTGCGTTTATACAACAGTTCGACGGAACGTGTGTAATTAAACAAGAAACAACGGAGTGCCTAATAAAACCATCTTTTGTGCGGAACTACTTCCTTCCGATGAACCCGCGTCTCAGAACGCGCGCAAATATTAAGCTCTCTGTGAAGTATTGTGTTTGAATGGACAAATTCACACAAAAATTATGTCAAAATGCCCATCTTGGTGAGTATCCTAGCAGACATAGTCGGCTGAACGTACAGTATCAGTGCACTGCATCAGTGCTTTCTCTTAAAGTGACAGCACTTTCTTAAAGGGGTCATATGATGCGATTTCAAGTTTTCCTTTCTCTTTGGAGTGTTACAAGCTCTTGGTGCATAAAGAAGATCTGTAAAGTTGCAAAGACTAAAGTCTCAAATCCAAAGAGATATTAGGCTGTGCACAAAGGCTATTTCTAAAAAATGTTTTAAAAAAGGGCAAATTCCGACTTTGCTATGGCAATCTGGCGCTTCTGAATCAGCTACTGTAAGTATGTTTTGTGTTGAGTTTTGCGCAGTGCAGAGTAACGTGTCGTGTGTGTGTGTGTGTGTGAGGGGAACAGGGTCACATCACAGGAGAGTGAACTGCCTGTCAGAAATCATAGCACGTCAGCTGTCTTAACCGCGGCTTGTGTACTGCATCATCACTGTGTCTGTCACGCAACTCTGTTGTCCTTTCGGGCTTGAACTGATGGTAAAGGCGGGGCATAGAGGACCTACAATAATGTACAGTATTTGAAAAATAATGTGTTTTTTGAACATTAAAGCATGTCAACATATTCTGTTACACCAAATACACAAAATAATGATCTTTAAAATAGCATCATATGACCCCTTTAATGTTAATCAGACAGCAACAACACGGAAATCTCTCACTGCTCTTGAGTGAATAACTTTTGCAACTTTAATAAGGATTAATCTTTAATTTATACAGTCAAATATGCAATGTTATTTTACATTTGATTTATTCAATTTCTGAACCGAAAAACTGTTAGCTACCTAAAAAAAACTGAAAAGCACTGTTTATTTTATTTGTATCTTTTCCCACTGTTTATTTATTTGTGCTGTTACTTGTAGTTAGATTATTTGTTCTTATTTTCTTTATTTTTATTTGACAATATAGTTTTTTCCCTAAACATAGCACATACCGAACCGTACCGAAACCGCGACTCTAAAACCGTGATACAAACCGAACCGTGAGTAAGTTGAACCGTTGCACCCCTAATCTGTTCTGTTGTAATTTCGAGATCAGGCAAATATTATGTCATTAACATGACAAAACAAGATAAGCATGATGCTCACCAATACAGTTCACCAACACAGCACACTCTGAAATCAACATGTTTTGTCAAAAACATTCCATGTAAAGCTGGAAGTTACACACCACTGTATTGCATGTCACAAAGACGGATTACATCATTAGTCTGTGATGCAGGTTTGTAAATACAATCTGTCCAAGTAAAAAAAAAAAAAACCTATAACTATTGTACCACTTACTAAATCACTACACAAAACGCAGCCACACCTCAACCCACCTGGCCAAAACAACACATTTATCGTAATCCCATAAATGAGACAAAACAACAATGACGCCGCAGCAGGAAGACGGACAGACTCGACGTAAGGCAACTGAATAGTCAGTATCAACAAATGATAACCAAATCAACAAAAGTTGGTTTAGGACTCTAAACAAATTCAAAGTAAATTAATTATGCCTTAATATATATACCTACCTATATATATATGTATATATATATATATTTATTGAGTTATTAATAGTTTATCTCAGCAGATTGAAATATGAGGGGATATATAATAAGATATACTGCCTTAGAAATCCAGCACTGTGTTCATCTGAAAAGAAAAGCATGTGTTCATTAACATTAATAAGATACAGTAAGCGAGAGACACTCACAGTTCAGTGGTAATATATGTTCAGCTACTGGATGGTGAAAGTTGAGACCCATGCGACCTACAAAGAAATGAGAAAAACAAGTCATGAGAGTTATGAAACCATTGAGACATCTGACTGTAAACCAGTTTATTACCCTTTTTTTACGCAATATTAGAGTTTAATTCACTAAACTGACATGAACATCAGATGTAAGGCCTCAAAAACCAATATTTGTAACCAATTCACCTGGAAGACTATTAATGTTAAATGCCTATTTCTGCTTTTTTGTGAATGTTTAGGAGTGCAGATGAATTTTTGCATACAGACTGCTTTAAAGCTTTCAGACTAAAAGCAACAAAACTACGGTTTTAGACGAAAATGCAAAGCGTACTTGCATTGTATTATGAATTGTGCTGTAACTCATTTCAAAATGTTAATATAGTGTGCTTACAGTTAAATTATAATGAAACACTTGCATTTGGATTTTCAGATTAAAAACATCTATTTATGAATTGTTTTTTTAATGAGGACATGTCCCCAAAGGATTTGTCAATTGTCAAAGCAAACACCTAGGCACCTCCCAAGTAAACACACACATGGATTCTCTGTAACTACATGAAGAGTTCATTTGCATGGCCGTAAAACAGCTGTTGATTTATTTTCAGAGTCAGAGCTCTAATGTGCCTGCATTAGCAGTTTTGGTTACAAATGACAGCAAAGCTCCCGTGGGCTTCCAGAGAACACTGTAAGCAAGCCTCGACGGGCTCTTATGCAAATTCTGAATCGTTGCAAGTCACATTTGCAAAGTTCTTCCCCACAGCGCACCGAGAATCCCAGATATGCTCTGCCCTTCAGTGGTTCAACCAATGCCAAACAATGGCAAGCGATGAGAAATTTGCACAACGTGGTACGGTTTCAACAGGTATTTGGCTCTGTGAGGTTGTAAGACGTACAGGGCAAATGTTTCCCAGCTTGCATGTGTTGTTCGGACTAGTGTGTTGTGCTATATATAGTGTCTCTGGTGAGAACCAGCAGCTGTGCTGGGAGCACATCCTTCATATTTGGACTATTTTCTCAATAATTCAAATCAAAGCAGCTCAACCGCCAGCACATGTGCCAATGATAGCCAAAGCACACTAATAAAAAGGTGTAAAGTTGATTCTAAATGAACGGCACATCACGATTTGATCATAAAGCATCAACACCTTTGATCACCCCGTGATTCATCTCATCAACAGCACAATGCCCTTTATAGAAAGCCTACGCTTCAAATACATAGTCATTTGAATTAAATGTCACTGCTGAGTCATTCTGAACAAACAATACTCACATACAATAAACAAAAAACTGTTATTTGTAAGTATGTTTCTCTTGTTTTCCAGACTATATAACTAAAGGTCCTAAAAACAAGATTGCATGTGCATTAACTAATGCATTGGGCAGAGACGTTTACCCAAAGTGACTTAAGGTGTGGTCACATTTGCCAAAATTTTGTGGGGCAAAAAATGTAAACTGTCTATTGCCAATTAGTGTAGTGATGTATGAAGCACAGCAACAACAGAAATCAATTCTAGACCGAGCAGCGAATTTGCTTGACCAAACTGAACCAATGGCGAAATCTGAAATTTCGTCTTGAAGAAATGTCTATTGAAACGACTGGATCTCACCTGTGAAATTTTGCAGAACAGCAGTAAACGTTCATTTAACAAATCAACATATATACATTTTATGCATTGCTACAAGAAGTTGAATTTACCTGACAAACAAAAATCCATAAGATTATTTTTACGCAAATCATCTTGAATTTAAGTGCATGTTGTGTTTACATTCATTTAGGCATAAAATTAAATTTAGTCTATAATTTTGTTTTAAAGATATTTGGACTTTTGCTGGAATACAAAAGTAGTAACACGTAGTACTAAAAGAAATGGACAAATACTTCCTTTCCAACATACATTTGGTTAAAACATTAACTGTGAGAGAATTTGCATGAGCAAATTTGAGGTCAAGCAGATAATGGGAGACACTTATTGAAATGTAAACTATAAATAAATGAGTACGGTTATAAACAAAGCCTCAACCTTAATGTTATTCAATATTGTTGCACTTTCTGTGGAATATTAAAGTGATGCATGTAAATATTTTAGAGTGGCTGTAATTCTGAGGCTGGTTTCACTTGTTTTAGACTTCAAGACAGCTGGAAGAGCCGGTGGTGAATAAGTTCCTCTCCAGCATGTCTTTAACCAACTGCAGCTGTGGTTCTTCTGACCCAACAGTGACATAATGGACAGACTGAGTATCTCTGCCGGTTTGAACATTACCATTCTGTAAAATATACAACCAGCTTAAAATGGTAGCTGAAACATGTTCCAAGCTGGTTTACGGGGTTCACCAGATGAACTACCAAGTATAAAACCAGGGCACAACAGCTTGAAGTGGTCAAGCTGGTTTTGAGAGCTTTGTAGTTGTTTATTGCAAGATGGTCTACAAGCCCAGCCAGGTAATGGCAGTCTAGCTAGTCAATCACCTAAAAACCAGCTAATGACCAACTTGGACCTGTTGGAAACCAGTTACCATGCTCCCATCTTAATCTGGTTTTAGCTGGATTTGCCAGTATTCTCATGCAAGACACACCTACTTTTAATGGAAACCTACAGCTCACATTCAGTTAAGATTAACATCAGTATTCTTTTGACAGGGAAGAGACACCTCAAAGATAGAGCCGAACATATTCCCCTGACATTCCCTCACAGGGGTCTATGGTTATGCAAATCATGCATTTCCCTTTCCCCTCTCGCTGTTTGATCAGGCCTGAACTCTGGAAGCAAATGTCAGCGTCTTTCTAGTCTTGTTATGACAGATACACATAAGCCAACTTTTCCCCTGACACACCAGCTTAATTACAAAAGGGTTAAAGGAACACGCCACTATTTTTGAAAATAGGCTCATTTTCCAACTCCCCTAGAGTTAAACAGTTGAGTTTTACCGTTTTCGAATCCATTCAGCCGATCTCTGGGTCTGGCGGTAGCACTTTTAGCTGCAGCTTAGCATAGATCATTGAATGTGATTAGACCGTTAGCATCTCGCTCAAAAATGGCTGCAGCTAAAGTGCTACCGCCAGACCCGGAGATCGGCTGAATGGATTCGAAAACGGTAAAACTCAACTGTTTAACTCTAGGGGAGCTGGAAAATGAGCCTATTTTCAAAAATAGTGGCGTGTTCCTTTAAAGCTTGTGTCTCAAACCTTGTGGAATATATATTAAACACTTAAAGGTGCAATAGGTGATTGTCTTCAGAAACATTTTTTGTTATGCTGGTTGAAAGTCTCATCACATCCCGATAGCAATCATTAAGTTAAGTTCTACCTGCCTGTCAACATATGTATTAGCATACCTCTGAGCACCCGGTTTGCGCAGACATAATACGTCATCAGCGCGTTACGCACACTGTGCAGACAGAGAGAAAATGGCAGACAAGCGTCAACAACCCGATCTTCCTTCCTGGTATTGCAGTACTTTTAAAGTTGTCTTACCGGTGAATGACACATGATGTAGCCCAGCGGTTCCCAATTCCAGTCCTCGTGCCCCCCGCTCTGCATATTTTGCATGTCTCGCTTAGTTAACACACCCGATTCAGATAACCAGCTCGTTAGAAGTGAGCTACGTGCATGAACTGTGCTCCGATCGATATGATCCCTACATAGTGTTCATTGCTCCCTACTCCCTGAGCAGGGGAAATTCGTTGAAGTTTGATTTGCCGTTGATTTGTGCTGCGCAGCGTCTTCACACACACAGACGAAACTTACTAGAGAAGTGTGAAGTGTGACATTATATACCTCTGTAAATAAATACTATTTACTCCTGACTAGACTTGTGCCGGTATTCGGTAATGCGATATATCACGGTAATGAATATGCACGATGTGGCTTTGGACGGCGATTGCAGGGAGGGTGGGACGTTCGCTTTCAGTGCTATCAGGCTAAAGTTAGCATTTTCCAAGATCTCCTACTGCACCTATAAACCTAATAAGAAAAATATTGGATCTGACAATGGTTTTAGTACAATTATGATGCAATGCATCATGAAATCTAAAATTTGGTCAATTTCATTTCAGAATTGTTCTGAAAATAGGTCAACTGCAATGTGAATTAAGAATTATATTATATTAAAACTCAGAAATTTTAATGGCAAATTTCTTTCATTAGTGATTCATATACATTTTGAGTAGGGCTGCACGATAAATCGAAATGGAATCGAGATCGCGATTCGACAGAAGCTGCGATTGTCATGCGTATCTTTCAGTGAAGCACGGTTCTGTGATCAGCAGTAAATCTCCATCCAAAGGCCAGAGGGCGCTCTCGCGCTGAAACTCCAAATACGCCTCGGAGAAGTGACTAAGAACGTGACTAATAAACACACGACTACGGCAATATATGGTTTATCTGAGTTCTTATTATTATAATTTTCATTAAAATAAAGTATATTTATAATGCAATGCCTTTATCACTGCTTAAATACTATGAAATATGTTTCGTGCCTTATTCTGTGTAAGAAGCCACATCATCTCACAGAAGGATTTATTTCAAACACTCGACTGACGTTATGAAGTGAGTTTGGAGTAAAAATATGTTATTAAATGTGGTATTTTCACATGCTTTTAGATGGAGCAGCATTTACTTCACAGAGCCGTAGTTCACTGAGAAGCTATGCAAACAGCTGTCATTATCGCGAACGATTTCTTCGATTTCAGAATCGCGCAATAAAATCGTCTGCGATTTTTTTGCGTAACTTGCCAGTGAACTACGGCTATGTGTAGTAAATTCTGCTCCATCTGAAAGCACGTAATGATGATTTCCTGCTGATTACAGAACCGGCATTACTATCAAAATGCGCATGACAATCGCATTCGATTAATCGTGCAGCCCTAATTTTGAGTTTCAACATTATTCCTCTTTAAATACAATAATCTGCTGTAGGCAAAGTGACCTACATTTGATTTTTGACCATTGAAAATGGGAAAAATCCAACAATTTGCACATGGAGCTGCATTGATCTCCATATCCCTGGTACTGAACTATATTGCATTTTGAATGAAGAACTCTATTGGACAACATTATTAAATCCTGACAATGTCAAAGTCCCATGAAATTGGCTTTAAGAGCCGTCAGTACAAGCTTTTGCTGTGGAAAATCCGACTGAGACTGTAATGTCCTTGAAATTGTGCAACACTCACATCAACATTCACACACCTTGAGCTTCACACGGCCACCCTAACAGGGTGCCTTTAAGGAAAGACAAACAATGTTAAACTATTAATAGAAAAGACCCTACCGTGAAATGTGGTGCACTGAGAACTGACAAACTGCTGCGAACAATCTGAGACAAACAGTTAAAGAGATAGTTCACCCAAAAATGAACATTCTGGCATCATTTACTCACCCATATGATTTTTAACGTGTGGTGTTTTTGTTGTCCATACAATGAAAGTCAGTGGGGTTTAATATTATTTTGGTCACCTTTGATATTTATTGTATGAACAGCTGAAGCATTCTTCAAAATGTCTTCTTTTTTGTTGTATGTCATATGGTTTTGGAATGACGAGTGAATAAATGATTTCATTTTCAATTTTGGGTGAACTATCCCTTTAAATCTAGTCAATTGAATATGTTGGTAACAATTTACAATTAGGTTTCATTAGTTAACATTAGTTAATATGAACAATAACAATGGACAATTACTTCAACAGCATGTATTAATCTCAGTTACTGTTAATCTCAACATTTTTAACTAACTAAGTTATATCTGTTTGCTAATAAATGCACACTGTGAACTAACATGAGTGCGAACATTTTCATTAAACTAACATTATCAAAAGTTGATAAATTCTGTAAAACATATTGCTTATTGTTAGTTCAGGTTAGTTAATGCATTAACTAATGTTAACAAATGAGACCTAGCTCCATGTTATTTTTTAAACGCTTTTAAGGCATTTATTTTATTTGACTTTGAAAAGTTCAATATAACTACAAATGCTGCTTAGTTTTCTTCCCTAAAAATAAATAGATTGTCTTAATTGACAGCCCTGTTGAATACAAATTTATCAAAATGATGCAGTTACATCACTAAACAATACTAATTATTTAAGCAAACGGAAAAACCTTCAGCATGAAGGCTGATCTTTTATTGTCCGAACACACGATCTCAAATAAGAGTGACAGTTTGAAAAACGAGACATTTTGGCTTACGCTCTTTGTACATATTATCCTGGGCCTTCGATACGGGACGAGTTGAACTCTGAGACACTTTCATCAATGTCAACGTTCAAAGTCACACCAGCCTAGGCTTGACAAACATCTTGCATCATGATCTTTAGCTACCGTCTCAACTTTGGCCTACAGGGTCAAACTGAGCTCTGCCTGAACCCAGCGGACCTCAGCGACCCAGATTACAGGTCACCCTGTCAAGCGTTTCCTAGTTCTAACTGTAATGAGAGGAACCGGTTTGTGCAGATGTGAAGAAACAGTATCCTCAAATATATTCCTCTCATCAGCTAGCTCAGTCTGATCATTATGGCTGAGTTATTGAGCATAATGAAATCAGACTGCCAAACTGTGACTGTCACCACAGTATCAGTCAAGCTCTGGAAGATTTTTCAAAACCTATGACGTGTAGGAAACAACCGATTTGGTTCAAACCTTTGGTCACGGTTACACAAGACAGATCATTTGAGACGGCCAAAAGAAATCTGTGTCCGTGTGCTTGCACAAAGGCATCTTTGTGATCGTGTGTGTGTGTTTGTGTCAATGTTGGGACCTCAGAAAGCGAATGAGACTGTGCTCGGATGCAGATTATTCTGTTCTGCATTTCAAAACACAATTTTTCCTCCAAATTCAATTGGATTAATGTGGATTCAGAAGTGTGAACAGGCTCAAAACACCTCAGAAGACCCTTTGAACCAAAGACTTGAGGACATCTGGAGCAAAACCAAGAAAATCATCCACTTCAGACAGAGAGCAAACTAAAATGGTTAGTTCGGCCAAAAATTCAAGTGCCATCACACTTACCTGTATGACTTTCCTTCTTCTGTGGAAAACAAAAGATGTTTCAAAAATGCCCTTTATTGTCCATACAGTGAAAGTCAGTGGGGTCCAATGTTTGTTCTTCAAAATTCCTTCATTTGTGATTTCCACAGAAGACAGTCATTCAGGTTTGAAACAATATTAGGGCGGATGAAAATGATGACAGAATTTTAATTTTTGGGCAAATTATTCAATTCCTTTAAAGGAGCCATACCATAATTTTTCTATGTTCTTTATGTATTCTAAATCAACTTACTTTTTGTGCCAAAAATAGTGATGAATTAGTTTTTCATGACCATTTTATCACTTTTTTTTTTTTTTGCTGCTGTGCCTTTAAGACTTATTTTTAAACACCCTCACATGTGAAATGAGGGCATCTGATATACTATCAATAGATAAAACGGATGACGAAATTTTGACTTGCTGTTAGTTTGTGTTCATATGATAAGATTACAGCAATTAGCAAATGACAACAATCCAAACAATTCCCAGTGGACACAATCAACTTCTGCCCTATATATTCTTTTTCATTCAAGAAGTTGTTTCACTTGAACATACATCACAATAGGGAAAAAAGATGATCACAATTTCCATGTCATTCCAGAAAAACAACAGACTGATTTGGAGTAATAAGTGTGTTTTACAGATCATTGATCTGCTAATGACCTCTTGTAACCTTATCAACAACAACATTAATGTCATGACAAGCAGATGCCAAAACTGCAGTGACTCACCGCATTTCCCAAACACACACACACACACACGAGTAGCACAAGCACTATTCATGCAGACGTAAGATAGGAACAGGTTTCTTTGGAAATTTAAATGGAATCCTTTGGAAAGGACTTCAGAAGTTCCAAGAAAGATGGGTTTGATGCAAATATTTTGCCGTCTTTTTTCTGTTCATAGTCTACTTTACTTTATCTGCTCGAGGTGAGCAGTTTTGCCAGATTGTCAGGATTTTCTGCTTTATTCTAGTGGTGCTCACTCAAGTATTCAGATCCTATAACTGCCAAATTCATTCTCACAGACACATTTGACCCACAATCTATTCCCACAATGCAGCTCTTCTCTCACCCAGATCTGGAAAAACAGCTCCACACCTGAGACGGGGCCCCTGATGTGGCTCTCCATGCATCCAGCACATAAAAACAATTTCCCTCTCCTCCTGTTTTACTCCCTTCCATTGTCTACAAGAGGAAAGCCATCTCTCATGATATCCCATGAGACTCTAGTGTGATCTTAAAACATCATCACATGAGAACATTTCCCACAACTACTAAACTTTCCCTTCAGCAAATGGTCTGTACAGAATCACTGAACACGGTACCAATCAAAATTCTGGAAGAATAAATGTGTAAACCCTAAAATACAAACAAATACATTTTACAAACATTTCTGTATATACAGTAGACAGTTGCATTTATATAATTTACACTACTGTACTGTTTTTTTTTAAACGTTTTTGAAAGAAGTCTTTTATGCTCACCAAGGCTTCATTTGTTTGATCAAAAATACAGTAATATTTAGAAATATTATTACAATTTAAAATAACTGTTTTCTGTTTGAATATAGTTTAATTTAATTTATTCCTGTGATGCAAAGCTGAATTTTCAGCATCATTACTCTAGTCCCCAGTGTCACATGATCCTTAAAAAATCATTCTAATATGCTGATTTGATGCTCAAGAAATATTTATTATTATTATCAATGTTGAAAACAGTTGTGCTGCTAAATATTTTAGCATTTATTCGAAAAAGAAATCATTGTACATGTATTTACTGTCAGTTTGATCAATTTAATGCATCCTTGCTCAACAAAAGTACTTCTTTAAAAAAAAAAAAAATTTAATGACCTCAGGCTTTTGAACAGTAGTGTGTATTATAATATTTAAAATATTTACGCAATATTTTGCAACAATTATTAATAAATAACAATTATTAAAAGCACAAATTAAAATATAGTGGCAGAACAATACACCAAAACAAACAAATAACCATAATTGAAGCCAAGTGTTTTGAAAATTCTGAGGCCAAAAGAACATAGAAGCATGGATGTATAAATAGTCCTAACCTGCAAAATGATTCCTCCATATAATATCAGCGATAGTCACTGGTGGGCCAGCAGCAGGGTGATGTTTACCTTTGTCATGGTTTGTCCCAATCATGTCCATTAAGGAATTCTCCAAAGTGTGCAAGTTGAATGGGTCAAAGGGGCGATTCCTTTCCTGAAAGACAGAAGAACTGGGTCAAAGGTCAGAAGTTAAAGATGAGTCACTCCACCACCATTTCACAGTCTTTCAAATTAGCATCAGTCCCGAGGTTAGGGCCAAGTTCAGACTCCCACAAACTGGATGCCAGAAATGGTTTTGAATGTCTTCTACATGTTTTCACTGTTCAGTAGCAATTTTATGAACATATTCAAGTGTTGAACAGCAACATTCTACACCTCTGTAGCTTATTTTGACCAGGAACCACCCAAATAGACAATAAGAAACTGCCTGACTGATATGTAAAGTGAACAACCACAGTTTTTGTTTTTACACGTCATTTATGGGTGGGTAAATCTGAAATCAACTATACCACCAAAAAATAAAAATAAAAACAGGCTGGTGTAAAACAATTCAACAATTCAAATCCAGTCCATGACAGTGTTGTTATTGTCAACTAAAACGATTAAAAATCCTTTTTGTTAACTGAAATAAAGCTAAAATAAAATTACATTTAAATCTAATGTTAAGATAAAAAGTTTAAAAATGTGAAAAAAATGAAAATGATAAATGTCGCTTTGGCTAATAATCACTGAATTTCTAAAATGACAGAAATGGAAATAAGGTTATTTAGAAATAGTAAACATAAATACATAAATTAATTAATTAATTACAAAAGCACATAATAAAATTATTAAAACTTATCATAAAAATTAAAATGAAAACTGCAAATATAAAAGGCAAGTCAAAATATGAATAAATACTATAAAGATATATAAATAATAATAATAATTTATAGCACTTGTATATCATTGCTCTTTTGTTGATTTTGATTGCTTCCATTGTCCTCATTTGTAAGTCGCTTTGGATAAAAGCATCTGCTAAATGACTAAATGTAATGTAATGTAAAAAAAAAATTCAAATTAACATTGGTCCATAAATGACTATAAATGTCTCTTAAAAGGTGACTAAATACAGATTAAATACAGATTTCTGGTAGCCAATGTTGACATTTGAAATCACCAAAACAAACACGCCCCTACCCCAAAGGGGTCTCGCCCCTATTTTGATAGCTCCGCCCCACACATACGTACGCAACCCAGGCAACGATTAGTTCTGTGAAACAAAGCAAAACCAATGTTACACAGTGTCTACACCGGACGCGAGTGGCGCGGCACGACAAAATACTATAGAACTCATATAATAATTTATAGCACTTGTATATCATTGCTCTTTTGTTGATTTTGATTGCTTCCATTGTCCTCATTTGTAAGTCGCTTTGGATAAAAGCATCTGCTAAATGACTAAATGTAATGTAATGTAAAAAAAAAATTCAAATTAACATTGGTCCATAAATGACTATAAATGTCTCTTAAAAGGTGACTAAATACAGATTAAATACAGATTTCTGGTAGCCAATGTTGACATTTGAAATCACCAAAACAAACACGCCCCTACCCCAAAGGGGTCTCGCCCCTATTTTGATAGCTCCGCCCCACACATACGTACGCAACCCAGGCAACGATTAGTTCTGTGAAACAAAGCAAAACCAATGTTACACAGTGTCTACACCGGACGCGAGTGGCGCGGCGCGACAAAATACTATGGAACTCATTATAATCAGTGATGCGGTCTACACTATAGATATATATATACATATATATGGTCTACACTGGATGCGGCACGACACGACAAATCCCCGACAGAAAACTGCTGCTGCGTTCTATTCATGACATATTGACACAAATTTCAAATGATTTTCAACGGTCGCTTTGTCGCGTCCAGTGTACTAGACAGATTTTAGCAGGCCTTCCGCTCCTTGAGTTCTCTCCAGTGCTGGAAAGCTGATCCTATATTTACACGGGTCCTACTTCTTGCCTTATTGGGGTAGGGGCGTGTTTGTTTTGGTGATTTCAAATGTCAACATTGGCTACCAGAAATCGCTTACCCCACCTTTAATTGATTAACGCCGACAATTATTTTATTTTTATTTTTATGAAAGTCCGTTGCTCACTGGCTCTGAATATACATACAGACAAACCATGGGTCACAGGAGGGGTGGGATGTTGATCAGTACTGGCTTGGGATGAGTACGTGTCTCAACCAATGTGAGCATTTTGGGTGGGCCTAAGACTGCAGCAGCGCTCACATGAATGCTCCCGATCAAATTATTTAGGCTAAGCATCAACATTCACAAACCACTGTCCACTGTTATTTTTAACAGAAAAGAATGCAACGTGCTCTTAATCACGACTTCATAAGTAGGAAATAGGAAGTTTCCGATAGCACGTGAAGACAGAAGAGAAGCGCTCTCGCTCAGCACAGTGGAGAGCATCGTTTTGTTAACTTTGTGGTTTATTATTTTGAGTCGTTTGGGACGTGGTAACACACGGCCCTCTCTCACAATATATTGCTTTACAGATCTATCACTCTTGCTGCTCAGAAATGTTCCCGCAACGTATCATGGAGCGCGTTAGCGCTCATACTCACTGATCTATAACTGAACCGCGCTCTGGCCCACCTCTTCCAACCGAGCCAGGGATGGCTAAACGAACCACGCCCGAGCGCGGCATGGAGCGATCACACTAGTCAAACGAACTGGGCTTTGGGGGTCAAACGCGCTAGGGCACGGTTAAGCTTGCCTAGTATGAGTACACTCTTATTCTCCCGCATAAATGAGTGTCTACACACCCGCACCTGCACTCGCCCATCAAGTGTTGTCCCGCGCCGCACTCTGCTGCGTTAGGATAGTGCAGGTCTCTAAGGTTCCTGTTATAATGTTATGATGGAGGCTCTGGACTCTGAGCATAACTTGTTTTTCTATAACAAACTATAAAATATTTTCTATAAAAACGTTAATGCCCTGGCAGTGGCAAATAGCTTTGGTTTTATATTTAATTTGATTACATTAATGTTATAAGTTGAGATTTACAAGAAATATTTTAACTGCTACTATGTAAAAGGAATACTGCTGTAAAAAAAA